TTTGGACACAAGCACACCCAGTGTACACCAAGCACAATCAGAACACATAATGTATTATATTATATTGTCAGAACATTAATTACATCCACAGCCTCATTGAACCCTGTAATTATTTGCTCTGTCCAGTGTGTAATTTGGGATGAATAATTATAAATCCATTTCATATTCTTCATTTATTGGGGAAGGAGGATTACTTCAGAATAGGAGCAGAAACATGGCAGGAATCTATGAGAAACACACACAGACGAACGCGGAGCGGGGGTCACGTGACACTAGAATGGGGGTAATTGGAAAAGAATGGAGCCATTGATTTTGAATGGAGAAGTAGACAAAATATAAATATGGATTAAAAATAAACCGTAAGAGATATCAAGAAGATATTTACAACATCAATACCTGATTATGTCATGAGTTGAATACAGTTAGAATGGCATTTCTAGCCCACGGTATCCCTGCGATGTTAAGGTTCAACTTCTCACGAGTTGAATACAGTTAGAATGGCGTTTCTAGCCTACGGTATGCCTGAGATATTAAGGTTCAACTTCTCACGAGTTGAATAGAGTTGGCATTCAGCTGTGCAGTCCCGTTGACAGCGTCTGCAGCAAGAAACAGGGAGTGACAACCAGAGAGGCGTCGACGAGCAAACGTGCATTTCTGCATTCAGTTTCAAACAAATAGAGCACCCTGTTGTGTTAGTACACTGTTGTATTATGTCATGATATTAAACAAATTGAAGGAACCGTGGCGTTTTATAATTACAAAGATGTTTTCTTTCCAGCGTGTGTTATTTGACTGCAAGTCAGGGAGCGACAGAGCGAGAGACGGCGATGAGCAAACGTGAAACCCAATATTAATAAATACAGCACTTTGTTGTGTTATTCCACTGTTGTATTATGTCAAGATTAAACAAAATGAAGGAACAGTTACGATTTACAAATATGCTGACCTTTTGCTTCAGCGGATCTTCTGTATTGACTGTAAGTCTATGGAGCAGTGAGACGGTATGCGCTGGAATGTGCGACTTACGCAAATACCATTCATCCCATCTCGATAACACTGACAGCTGAATTTGTGACAATTTTCTCTACGATTGTCATCTATTATATGTGTATAAAGCTTAAGAATGGCATAATAGGAGCACAAAAGCAATGAGGAAGATGAAAAGCATAGAGAGAGCTGCTAAACCGGGGGGTCATGTGACGCGTAGCTGCCAATGGCATTGCAGAGTATTGGCCCATTCATTGTCTATGGACAAATAGACAAAATATAAATGTCAAATATAAAGAAACCATAAAAGATATATAGTGATAGCTGAACATCTCACGAGTTGAATAAAGTTGAAATGGCGTTTCTAGCCCAAGGTATGCCGGAGATATTAAGCTTCCAACTTTGCCCCATTCT